AAAAAAAAAAAAAATAGCATTTGAACGTCGATTATACACATATATATTGGGAGGGAGAGGGGGAAAAGGATTACGTAAGTTAGGTTAGGCAAACATATGTTTATGTCACCTGTTGCTTCAATATCGAATATTGTGATCACATGTATATATTTATATATATATATATGTACCACTGTGTGTACCACTATATGTTACATTGTATGTAGTTTGATCGCTTTTTACTTTTTAATATTTTTTCTGCTGGATTATTTAGCAGTAAATACCATAGATTGATCGTCGCAGGTGTGTTTATAGTGTAAAAATGTCGGATATATAATTTTACACAAGTATGTAAACGCTTCAAAATATACTCTTCATGTCAATTCATTGAGTAATATTATAAATGATTTTGCGATGACTTCATTGCATGTTTTTATCGACAATACAAGCGTGTGCAAAATGCATACTGCAGGTAATATATTACTAATAATTGTAATAAAAAATCAATTGATAATGATAATAATCAATGATGATAAACTAATAAACGTGACATATTCAATATAAAAATAAATTAACTCTATTATATGATACTTGCAGTTTGGTCAGATTATATAGATCAACTTTACAAATAATATGAAGATATGTATAAATTTAAAGTATGCAAAAGAAAAGATCTTGATGAGATAACTAAGTTCAACGAAGGTCAAATATAATGATCAAAGACATGAATGCAAAGTAAATTCTACTTGACGGTTGGCATTATTTGACCACTTGGCATTAGTGTCGAGAGAACTGAGTTATTATGTGTTTATCGAATCCAATTTTTGCTGTGATGACAAGATGCGACTTCGATTTTTAAAACAAAAATCTGTATTTCTGATTGGTTCAGGAATTGGCTTTTTTTTTCCATTATTGCTATCTTTATTAAGGAATATATTTGTGATTGATTCAATGTGTGAACGAGACCAGTCATTGTGGCAACCTAAATATTATCTGAGTAAGGAACCTCGCGATGAAGAAATTATTTTACAGCATTGGGAAAAAATGAAGTGGTCATCTGGCAATTTTAATATCGTTACATACTACACTTGGTTGGCAGCGCAAAACTTGAGATTACACAAACTTGATTTAGATAGATATTTATATGGTCCCCAAAAAGGATACAATACAAGAAAGAATGAAAGCGTGGAATGGAACTGGTTAAAAGAACGAGTGTCTATCACATGTATGGTTTTTGTAGAAAAACTCAAATTGGGGAGATCAATCCGAACTACATGGGGTAAACGCTGTAATAATATTTATTTCTTTGGACACCGTTTGAAAGATGCCGAATTGCCCATTATAAATATAAATACAAAGATTGTGTCTTCCTGGCAATTGCTGTGCGAAGCTATGAATTATATTTGGAAAAAAACGGCGGACAAATTGGAATGGATTATTTTCGTAAAAGACAATACTATAGTCATACCGGAGAATCTGCGCTATATGATTGCTCCGTTAGACCACAGAGATGATTACTATCTGGGTCATCCAATAGTTCTGTGGGGTCAGACTTATAACGTTGCTCAATCTGGATATGTTCTTAGTAAAGGGACACTGGCTAAAGTAATACAAATGTTCAATACTACAGAAAAGTGCATTGCAGGTGGAAAGTATTGGAAGAAGGAAGATTATTATCTTGGTAGATAATGTGATATTTTTATACAAATTTCAGACACACTCTTTATGTATATTATTGATTTTTTGTGTCTTTTTACAGGAAAACACCTGTCGTCCTTGGGCATACGTCCATCTGATACCAGAGATCAGTATTTGAGAGGTACTTTTCACGGTTATTCTTTACAAAATCTTCTATGGGGTGTTATCAGACCAGATAGCTACTTTACACATGCTGTCTATCCAACGAAAGGAGAATGCTGTTCGCCAATATCCGTGACTTTCAGCGTCAATGAACCCGACAAAATGCACATGCTAAATTATTTGCTATATCACTTTCATGTTTTCAACAGTGAAAGCAAATTTGGCAACATATCCGCTAAAATTCAAATACCTGAAGACAATGTAAGTCCTAACATTATGTTAGTTTGATTCCGAAGCTTTTCGTCTAATAAATATTAGAGTATTAATTATTTATCACAATCAGATTTAAATTTAAATTACTTTTGTTCGAATATATCGCAATAGAGAAATATAGTGATAATAATCGAACGTTTTTGTGTATTCTAGGTATGGAAGATTGCACTGCAGGAGGAATTCAACATCACACATTTGAACGATATATCGAGTGACGCTTATTACGAAATATGGCACTCGAAATATTCGGAACCAGGACAGCTAAGAATTGCTAAAAATTATCGAATGACGTCGGATGTGCTAAATTGTTTATTGACGAGTTACAAAACAGGAAATACGTCTGCGTTTAATTGTAGAAGTAAAACTGTCTTCGACAGTACAAAAACCTGAGCCACTAAAACAGCTACTAAAACATTATTTAACAGCCTTACATTATAATTATCAAGATAGAAGATTCACAAAAAATCAATAGACGGTGAATATCTTTAGTCTTGTAGTACACAATTATCTATGCATTAAGATTACGTTATAAATTTTGACAGATAAATATATAAATAAAGATAACATTATTTGATCTAATTTATTTAGTTTACTGTATAATTAATTTGATTAGATGTGCTGTGTGTAATTTGCATTATTAATAGGAAATGGTTGATAATTACTTTTCCTGTGCTTTATCAAGCCAATTAGTGGCTCATTAACGTCTACAACAAAAGCGATAAATTAATCTCGTTTCTAAAATACTTTCGCAGAAACGTGTCTACCACAACTTTCACGAACTTTGAATCATTGATATAAAAACAGTTATAAACATGTTATTATATGACAATGAAAATTATGCATTTTTTTTTTTAACTTTGATATATATTTTATGTGTTTATTTCTATATTTTGAATGTACTTAAAATCTGCGCACATAGGATATATAGAATCAGAAATCAAAATTTTTATAACTAATAGTTTAATGGTCTTATGCATGGAATCTTTTAATGCTGCAAGAAGAAAGTTTATGGACAACATAATAATTATAGTTTATATATTTTTTATATATGACAATTCTTTATATTATATGTTTATCGAGATGCACACACAATGTAATTGACTTTTTATATACAAGCACTTTATATACAAAATACATATACGCATCGTGTGCAGCCGGTTGACCTATATTTTTCATTTTTCTCGTTTATCAAGCGCGACCTGTTAGCTTATCACTTATCCGTTTCCTTCTAGAGGTAGATATATAAAAGAGTCGTGTACTCTGAGTCGCGCTTTTTAAAAGTGTTACTTGGTTCGCGCATTTCAGAAAGGATAAATGTGAATTCTTGTCTGGCACGCTAATATGGGAAGTTGTATCTCGTATTGATAACATGGTGCCGTTACAGATACTTGGATGTTCATTTTTGCTAATTATTGTTACAAACGATATAATACAAGGATATGGATATTCGGTGGATACGAATACAGAAGAAGCAAACGAGTTAGTATTTTACATATTTTTTGTTATAAAAGAAATTTTGTTTATATTGTTATTAGAAAAATTACATTTTGTTTTATCTATGTATGTTTATTTATAAAAATACAATATATATATATATAGTATACTTGACTTTTTTTGTGCACAGAGAGGGAAATATGCTGAACGATGCGCCAGATGCAGCTATTGAAGATTCTTATAATGTTAAAAACAGAAAGGGTGGAAGACGCGTATTCGCGGGAGGTTGTGCCCGTAGACCGGATGCGCCTATAAACGGCAAGATTAAATGTTCTTTGGACAGGTACTTGTGTCTTGTCAATAATTAATTGTCAATTTTTTTATTAAATATATTTGTAACATTAATTTTTTTGAAGAAAATTAAAATTTCCAAATATATTCTATAGATAAACTAAAGTACGTAAAACATATTGAAAAAAAGTATAATAATATAATAATACTTTGTGTGTGATGATACAGTGGCTGTACTGCAAGCTGTGCGGCAGACTACAAATTTCCGAACGGCGCGTTTCATCTGATGATCACCTGCATCGATAAGGAATGGCACATTGAAGGAAACGAATGGAATTCGATACCACATTGCGAACGTACGTAGGAAAATTACGCGTTTCCATCTTCAAGTTGGAAAATTCGGAGATGACAAAACGATTTTAATCAAATTTTTTTTTCATAGCGATTTGCATGCCCGAGTGTCAAAACAAAGGCATATGCATCGCACCTCATCATTGCGACTGTCCCGAACATTTCAGCGGCCCGCAGTGCCAATTTGAAGATAAACCGTGTTTGAATTATCCACCGCCCGTGCTTAATTCTTATAAGAAATGTAACTCAAAGTAAGTGATATATCTGTAGATCTTATTGCTATTTTTTTACTGTTTCTCTAATTTTGTGAATTTTATTTTTTCAGAACGTGCACTGTCTCCTGCATGAAACATTTTACTTTCCCCGACAGTTCGTCCGTCGCCAATTTAATATGCAAGAACGGGAGCTGGAAGCCAACCAGAAGTGATTGGGTATCGATTCCGGATTGTGAACGTACGTCTACACGACTATTAAATCTTTATGTGTGCCATATAAAATTGCAACACACTTGTAGCATAATTTAACATAATTGTATTTCGACAGCTGTGTGCGAACCGCCTTGCCAAAACGGCGGCAATTGTCTACCGACGAATTTATGCCAATGTCCACAAGATTATCGAGGACCTCAATGTCAATACTGTAAGTGTAAAAAGATGTATCACATAACTCATAATTTTATTTTATCTAACGCAAAGAATATATACATATATTAATAACATAAGAATATTTTGTAAATTAATAAATTTTTATATAAATCTCTATCGTATATGTATAGATTTATATACACATATATTATATATATTTTTTTATACAAATTATATTTCTAATTTAATCTCCCATCTAATATGGGTGGCAGCTGCCGATTCTTGCGATGCCGAGAAACTACGTTTCAACGGCGGATATTACTGCACCGGCGACAGCGAGACATATTCCTGCACGCTGAATTGTCCTGCGGGAGTGGAATTCGAATTCCCACCAGCCACAGCTTATACCTGCACCTATGATAAGGGCGTCTTTGAACCGCAGCCGATACCGCAATGTAAGGTCGACAATAACATTAAGATCATCTCACTCGGTACCTCCTACAACACCTATGTACGGGAATCGAATCACTCATGGTCGATGCACGATGTTTTTGGCACGAAAAATTCTCAAGAAATTCATAACGGATATCACGGCGTTCACGGTAGCGATGCGTCCTCATATCCGGTAAATAATATATCACATTCGTAAATTCATCATACATAATGGAATCTGAAATGAGAATGAAGTAATTAATTTGTGTTTCTTATAAAATTGTGTAGATTGAGTCCAATGGCGTAATAATCGAGATGAGTCGACCGAGACCTAAGACGTGCTTTACTTGGGGCGGTGCACACTACAAGACCTTCGACGATAGAATTTATAGCTTCAACAGCGACTGCCCGCACATGCTTCTTCGGGAGACGCGAGACGGCGTCTGCACGATTGTAGCGCTTAATGGTCCGGGATGCAAGACCGGATCGTCGGGTCGTCGTTGCGTCAAAATCATAAAGCTGTTCGTACACAACAAGGAGTATACGCTCACCAGCGACGAGACGGGAATGCCAGCGTTCTTCAACGGCAAACGGTCTTTACCAATACCTGTATACTTGCCCGGGTTGCGTGTGGACAAGTCTGCTCACTTCATCATTGTTTCTCTTGACTCGTTGGGCATGAAGTTAAAATGGGACAGCGCCCTGCTACTGCAGATCGAGGCGTCCGAGAGTATGTGGAACAAGACGACCGGTCTGTGCGGCACGATGAATGACGATCAAAATGACGAGTTCCTAACAAAAAGCGGAAGTTACGCTAGCAGTATATTGGCATTGGCGAATTCTTGGCGTGTTGACGATTTTGGAGGTAACGAGAAACGACACCAAACCGTCTTGTAATAAATTATATTTGCATTGGTGTAGATCAATGATATAATGTACAAATTATAAAACTATATATTTATATTGTTTTGTATCTCCGACATACATTTTGAAAATATTAAACCATCATAACAGATATAGATCTACCATTATGACAATTGTGTTAGTTATAGCAACCTGTTTTTCATTTTGCAGAAAAGTGCGACGACTATCCAAGTACGCGACACGCGTGCGAATCGAGAGATAAGTTTGCTAGAGACGCTTTCGAATTTTGCACCGAGTTACTCTCCAATCATAAATTCAAGACTTGCGCCAATACGATAAATTTTTCCGAATTGACCGAGGCATGCTTGTGGGATTATTGCGCGTGTGAGCACGATGACAGAAGGAAATGCGCCTGCGATACCATGGATGTTTACATCCGCCAATGCGCTCACAAGGGAATCGCGCGATTAACCGCATGGAGGAGCAACGATACTTGTCGTAAGCCGATTTAAAAATGTTTTATGTGATCAGTAATCTTAATTGTAAAAATTAAGATCTTTGTGTTCCATTTATTTATTGTAAATAAACAAATAAATTATTTTGTAGCGATTTTTTGCGATGGTGGACGAGTATATCTATCATGCGGCCCGAAGGTGGAAGCGTCTTGTTCTTCCGGTATCGAAGTGAACCAGGAAATCTCTTCTGAATGCGAGGAAGGTTGTTTCTGTCCAGCAGGTACTTTGGAACACGGAGGCAAGTGCATCTTTCCAGAAGAATGCCCGTGTAGATTGAGGGGTAAATTGTTCCAACCGGGTACGAGCGTGCAAAAGAAGTGCAACACTTGCACATGTATTTCCGGCAAATGGGTGTGCACGCAGATACGTTGCGGCGCCAGATGCGCCATCGTGGGCGACCCGCATTACACCACGTTCGATGGCAAGCATTACGATTTTATGGGAAAGTGCAAATATTATTTGATGAAGGGAGAAAATTATTCGATCGAGAGCGAAAATGTCCCATGTTCCGGAGCGATATCCGAGGTCAGAGAAATTATCAGAAAGAAGTTAATACACCAAATAATTCTGTTAATTTTATGAATTATCGTTTATTTTTCCGCATCTCATTATTTTCACCTATTTCTGATTAATTATTATTTATTTCAGAATTTGGGCTTTACTTTCGTAGGCTCTCCATCATGCACTAAAGGCCTTACGATTAATTTTAAGGATACCGTTATAAAATTAAAGCAGGGTCGCCAGATTACGATAAACGGCGATGAGGTAATAAAATTTCCGATGCTGTTCAATGGTGCTCGAATACGAACCGCGAGCAGTATATTCGTAGTGATTCAGTTGCCAAATGCTTTGGAAGTATGGTGGGACGGTGTATCGCGTGTTTATATCAATGCTCCAGCCGAATTTCATGGTAAATTCTTTTTTTCTACTAATACCAGAAATACAATCATATCTTTGAAGAGAGAGCATTTTTGAATAAACTACCGTTCTTACAGATCGAACGAAAGGACTTTGCGGGACGTTTACTGAAAATCAAAAGGATGATTTCATAACGCCTGACGGTGATATTGAGACCGCAGCGATTGTCTTTGCCAATAAATGGAAAACGAACGAATATTGCATTGATGAGTTTGAAAGTGAATCAAAACATCCTTGCGATCTAAATCCTCAAAGGAGAGCGAGCGCAGAAGAATATTGTTCCAAGATACATGGTGATATTTTCTCAGGTATTTGTCGGAATTTTTATATCGTATATCGCACGCGTGGCTTTATTTTATATTTTATAATAAAATAATTTTACAAAAGTTTATATAAATATGACACGTACACTTTGCAACAAGCTACAAAATACAAAAAGAAAGTCTGAGCTACTATACAATTTAAAAAAGAAAATCGAATATCTCGCTTCTTTATGGATTAATTATCACATTTTTATTTATGTGTAATTAAATATATAATTTTATTCTAAATAGTTTTATACATAATTTCATTATTTTTATATTGTCATTTTAGACTGCCACTGGTACGTTGATCCATTAGAATTTTATCGGGACTGTATGTACGATATGTGCGCATGCGATACCGATGTAAAGTCATGCCTCTGCCCGATGTTGGCAGCTTATGCGAAAGATTGCGCGGCACTAGGTGTAAAGCTTTTGTGGCATGCTGAAATTGAGGAGTGCAAGATTCATTGCAGCGGTGGGCAGACTTATCAAATCTGCGGAAATAGCTGCACCAGGTAGGATATGCAGCAACAATATTTTTTTATCGACTTTACGTTGTTCATTTACCGCAGATCGTGCACGGATATATCCTTTTATCGAGACTGCAAGCAAGAATGCGTGGAAGGTTGCAACTGTCCGGAGGATCAAACGTTGAACGTAAACGGCGAATGTATCCCAATCGTTCAGTGTCCTTGTATTTATGCTGGTCGCGAATACAAGCCTAATCATCGAGAGATCCGTCCGGGCAATAAGGGACAGGAGATTTGTTCTTGCATAGGTCAGTATTCAAAGTATGAGAGCTTGCTTTTAACAACATTTTTCAATAAAAAATTCTATCTTTTTATTATAGGCGGCGTATGGGAGTGCCGATTAGCAACACCGGACGAGATTCGAGAATATCCACCGATCACGGATCTCCTCTGCCCTGCTAGCAAACATCTGGAGGCGACGGATTGTCAACCAGTGGAGCAGAGAACGTGCAGCAATATGCACATACCGGTCAAACGGACACCATTGGTGTGTACGTCCGGTTGCGTTTGCAAATCCGGATACGTCTTAGATATAGCGAATGGCATATGTGTCAAGAAAGAGGACTGTCCCTGTCTTCATGGCGGAAAAAGCTACAAAGAAGGCTCGGTTATACAGGCCGAGTGTAACACTTGCACATGCAAGGGCACCAAGTGGGAGTGCACGGATCGAACTTGTGCAGGTGAAATTTTTCTCTAAAATTTGCTTTTAATCATCACCATTATTTCTCTAAATATTTATTGATAAAAATTAAAGAACTATATTATATATTTCTTACTCTGTATGAAATACTTTTCAACTATATGTACAAAATATAAATCAAATATATTTGAACGAATGATTGTTTCTCATTTTTTATCGGTAAATGTATATTGTATTGTCTCGAGCGAAAGAAAATGTGATTTATTATATCGTGTTATATTATGATTCTTTGATATCTTCTATTGGCAGGAATTTGCTCCGTGTGGGGCGACTCGCATTACAAAACATTCGACGGTAAGATGTACACTTTCCAAGGCATATGCGACTACGTTTTGGCGAAAAGTGCGCTGAGCAAGGAAGAATGTTTTGACGTCTCGATTCAGAACGTACCTTGCGGTACGAACGGAGTCGCGTGCTCAAAATCGATCAAGCTCATAATTGGGAGCGGTGAAAAGCAGGAAGAGCTTGTGTTGACAAAAGGAAAGGAGTTACCGAAGGAAACTTACAAGAGAATGACGATAAGAAACGCTGGTCTCTTTGTGTTTGTCGATGTGCCGGATTTGGGATTGGTGTTACAGTGGGACAAAGGTAAGAAGCGTCCAAGAAAATATAAATTAATCGGATTTGGACTCTTGAAAGATTATTTTGACAATTCTCGTTTAGGTACCAGAGTTTACGTAAGATTAAATCCGGAATGGAAAGGCCGTACGATGGGTCTATGCGGCGACTACAATGACAATGCCGAGGATGATTTCAAAACGCCGTCTGGTGGAATATCCGAAGTCTCCGTCAATCTATTCGGAGATTCGTGGAAAAAAAATGCGTTCTGTCTCGAACCAAAAGACATGCAGGATGATGTCTGTGAACGGCATCCAGAACGTAAGCTGTGGTCATTAAGGCAGTGCAACGTGCTCAAATCGCCATTGTTTTCATCATGTCACTCGGAAGTGGAGGTCGAGCCATATCTGCGCAATTGTATCTTCGACACGTGTAGCTGCGATGCCGGCGGTGATTGCGAATGCCTATGCACGGCAGTGGCCGCGTATGCACACGAATGCAACGTTCAAGGCGTTCCCGTGAAATGGCGAACGCAAGAACTTTGCCCGTTGCAGTGCGACGAGAAATGTAGTACGTATTCGGCTTGCGTCTCAACCTGTCCACGTGAGACATGCGACAATTTGATGACCGTGAAACACAGCTCACACCTATGTGCGGAAGACACGTGCGTGGAGGGTTGCCAGTTCGACCCCTGCCTCGATGGTCATGTCTATCGGAACGCCAGTTATACAGAATGTATATCCAAGTCGATGTGCGCGAAGCCGTTCTGCATTGAGATCGACGGAATGACGTACTACGAGGGTGATCAAGTAAGCGGCGACGATTGTCAGAGCTGTTTCTGCAGTCGCGGTACAGTGACTTGTAATGGAGAGACTTGCACCAGCACTACTATAGCTAATATTGCTACCATGCCCTTGACGGAACCTCAAAAATGCGTGGATGGTTGGTCCATGTGGATCAATCAGGATCCAGAAGTAAAGGGGAAAAAATTGTTGGACGTGGAGCCATTGCCTAGTTTGATGGATCTTGCTAATATGAATGGATTAGCGATTTGCGACAGAGAGCACATGGTCGACATAAGATGTAGATCCGTCAAGGAACATTCGAATCCGAAAGAAACTGGCTTGGACGTAGAGTGTAGCTTAGAGCGCGGTTTGTACTGTCAATCGCATCTTCCAGATCTTCCTTGCGTGGATTTTGAGATCAGCGTGCTATGTCGCTGCTCCGAACCAATCACACACGGCGAAAATGCGTCAACGGAAATTGGGCCAAAGGAATGCGATGTAACGCATCCCAATTCGCCTCATGCGACCAATTGCCAGCTATTTTATCATTGCGTTCTCACACCGACGGGACATGAACTGGTGGAAAAATCATGTGGTCCCGGCACCTTGTACAATTC